GATTACGAATAAACTGTTTGTATTAGGTACCGGATATCTTAGTGTCGCTTTTCTGAGTTCAGGAAGTTTTGGGGCCGATTACTATGGAAAATCAATATCCCAGAAGGCAGTTTTTGCTCATTAATATTGCGAAATATGTTGCTTACCGTCTTCTATTGTTGGTTCACAATTTAACTTTCCCCCAATTTTTATACTTTCTTCTGAAAATTCCTGGGTCCAGTGTGCAAATTCGCATGTGTGTACCAAATGCATCAAAATTCTTGCTGAGAGCTGTAACCTCCGCCCACCAAACCAGCATTGCATTTGATGGAGGGAATACTACCATTTAAAATGCTCATCGGTTTTTCACAGTTTTCTTAAAAGACAGTAAAGTCTTTGAAGGGATGCCCGCAACCGTCGTCAAAAAGGTGGTCCTAGGTAAATCAGTCGAGACGGGGCTGCACCAGTCTTGTGCTGAAATGGTAGGACACTTTAGTAGTGATTGACAACGGTGGTGCTCAATTGCTTAAAGGAAGTTGATTGACCAAGAAATTCTAATAAATGTGCTCATCTGCTACTCACGTGTGCTCAAAAAGGGTGCGCTTTTGACCCCATGTGGCAAAAAAGACTCCGGGAAAAAATGTCCAGTTGAGCTGGTAAGTAATAAATTTTCCACCATACAGTGCAGACCCTACTCTAACTAACTGTAAAACTTCTTTTGTCCTGGTCTAACTGTTTAGCAAGGTAGAGGGATGATTTGTCAGATGATGTCAAATTCGACCTACCTCTCTTTTTCGTCTCAAAAAATTCCTAACTTTAATCGTACGAGGTTTTCACTCATACTGGTAAATGGGAAAGGGCTAATGAGTCATTCGATGGATATGCCGTTTCACTCACTGGATTTTGAATTAAAATATTGGTGGTCCGAAACTCGCGGTGAAAAAACGACACTAAGATATCCGGTACCTAATAGTTCGCTGCTAAGTACCTATAGGCTACACTATGCGGCTCAAAGTAGAAATCTTAAAGGCACGCTCCTGCGATAAAAGGCGGCTGCTGTTATCCAGGTGGCTAGTAGGTAGGGACAAGTGATGTCGGGCCCCTTTTGCGCCTTGAAAATACGCGACAAAGGCGCAAGGAGCTCGTCCAACCCGCAACTCACACCTTCGTCCGCAAGCCCCACCCTTCGCTGTCGGTTGCCACGTGGCGCTGCTTGAAAAGCGCGGGCGCATTTGAGGCAGTGGTCCCAGCGCGATCCAATGTTATTGACACTGGAGCAAGTAGAGTTAGGTTCGTGAAACTCGTCCAATTCGCCTCTTCTCTATCCCAAGGTGGAATGTGGCTGAAATAGGGGAGGTCTCTGTACGGGGCGTAATCGGTGGTTTCGTTTGCTTTCCTTCTCTTACAGACCACCTCCCACCTATAGCTTCATAACTAAACGCTTTTCCACACCTATTTTTATCCCGAACTTCCTTTTGAAATAAATGTTGAGATTTTGTTAGTTCCGAAAATTGGCCAATTAGTCCATACGGCAGCATAGCCATAGGAAATTCCAGACGGTGAACTGAAAATGAGTTTCCTTGTAATCCTCTTCGAACACCAAGAAATTCCGCTACAGAATGCAATTGGCAGACAGCAAACGGGTGGTGGAAAAGGAGCCCAGCAGTGGGAGGGGAGAAAAGGCAAAAATCCTTCTCTCCCTCAGGTTTCCTGAAAATGGTGGCCACGCTCATTCACAGGACAAGGCCTCACCTCCAAGCTGGAGCGTGTTCAAGTCACTTTAAGTCACTCGACCGGCGTGATGACCAGACTTTGAATAAGCACATGGCCATATGCTTTTCGAAGTTAGGTCGGTTTTTTTGTCGACATTCGTCGAATTTTGTATAGAGGGGCATTTCTGAGGATAAATGGAGGGGGCCAGGGCGGAAGTGGTGTAGTGACAAGTGGCGCGCTTACCACGCGAGCGGTCCGGGGATCAAATCCTGGGTCGTGAGTCGCCCGGGCCAACCAAGCCTTCCATCCCTCCGGGGTCGGTTAATTGGTACCAGACTTGTCTGGGAGGATAAAAAACACTGACTTGTACATCGGCTGGCCCCGCAAGTCATTGTATAGGCCACATCGCATTCAAATGCCACTACGAATGTACAAATGGAAGTAGAATGCGTGCCGCATCCCAAAAAGGGATTGATCAACGGCAAATGCTTTATCCTTTATTTTATAGGGGGCCGAAACGGATACGCGTCCGTTGTTGCGTCGGGGCCATTTTGTGCTAGTTGGGCGTTGCGGATTTATTTCGCCAGTTCTTAATAGAAACCCCATTTGCAGGAGTTAATGATGGTCCTGACTGTGAACATAACATCAATTTCGGTGCTGGAGCCATTTGGTGCAGATTTGAAGGTGACAACCTGACCACCTTCCCACCGCGATACGGACACTTATTGTAAGCCTCTGCCCTTTCTTCAGCCCGTACCATTGATAAACTGATAAACGTCATTTTTGAGTAAATTGTGCAAGTTTTTTGATTTCGTTTCAACCAGTACCTTTCAATGTGCAGGCAGATCTTCTGTAAAAGTCCAACAGATCAACTACGTGGCTGTAAAACCAAACATATGCAAAAACGTTTTGAAATAAGCGCCGGCTAGCGGGAAAGCCTCCCTGGAGTACCCAGTACCTAATGGTTTGAAAAAATGTAGAGGTGAAGTGAACCGCTCTGAACCAGGCAATTACGTACATGTTTTTTGTGGATGGGTGGATTTTCAAGAGAGAAGTACAAAGAAGTTAAGCGAGCTCCACCCATAGTGGGTGTGGCGTGCGTCAGATTGGAGATATCGACGAAGAAAATTTCAAATGTTATACCAAAACAGCCTAGAACGCCTACAGAGCAGAAAAATTGTGTGAGACGCCAATGTCCAAAGGGTTCTCAAAAATCAGACGTGGCCCACAATGGCGGCGCGTGTCTCAGTAGACAGCGTTTCTAGAAACGTTCATTAAGTCGGGGTCCGAACTCCAAGAGACTGGCGAGACGTCAGAGAAGAAGGAAGGGTATATTGTTAGATGTTTTACTATTTACGGGGGGGGGGGGGGTGGTAAGCGTGGAGTAACAGTGGTGTAATTTTATACCAAAACTTATAGCTCGGTTCCAAGAAGTCCTGGAAAAACCTGAAAATTTAATATAAGCCACCGAAGGGGAGTATCATGCCATGGTGGGTGGAACACAGCGCAAAGTGGGCAGAGTTTGCCGCTAATTAATAAACGTCATCGGAGATTGCCGCCAAATTAATAAACGTTCAGGACCGAGAAAAAGGCGATCAATGATTGACGAAGGTAGGTCCAAAAGCCATTGGTGGAATGGGCAAGAGCTCGTTGTGGCGGCGGAAAACCAAACGTGACATATGGCTTTAAGCACGGAAGACTAAAAGCGGAGAGTCCTGACTTGGGACAAAATTTGAGAATATTTTGTGGTAACCGAGAACTAAATTTTAGAAAAGTACCGGCACGTCCATATCGTGCAGAATTGTATTCTGCGCGCACAACGTGCAGCTGAGTTAACAATTTCCGGATCTAACAGATAAAACTTTTATTTTTCCAATATTGCATTAAAAATATTGGTGTGGGGGGGGGGGGGGGGGGGGGGGGGGGGGGGGGGGGGGGGGGGGGGGGGGGGGGGGGGGGGGGGGGGGGGGGGGGGGGGGGGGGGGGGGGGGGGGGGGGGGGGGGGGGGGGGGGGGGGGGGGGGGGGGAAAGAAAGAAAAAAAGAAAAAAAAAGAAAGAAAAAAATAAAAAAAAAAAAAAAAAAAAAAAAAATAAAAAATGTTATTATTTTCGTCTCACGAGACTCATACTCGCGACTAAGCGGGAACAAGCACGGAATTGAGTAACGGGCGATGATAAATCGTACATAATGATAAAAATGTAGAAAATATAGAACAATAGATCAATTCGAATTATAACATCAGTTATAGAACAATCATAGGCAATATGCGATATGAGAGAGACCGGACTGTAATAGTATAAGAAAACACTGTGAAAAACGAAAAAGCGCACGACAGGGCAGGAGCAAGGCAAACCGCCTTTTAGAGTGAGTTAACAGCTTGTAAAGTAGTTGACAATAAATCCACGAACAACCTATCTCATCTCGGCAAATAAAGGTTAACATTGCCAATGTTTCAGTTGTATATAACCCAAGCCTACTTCAATCATGCGCATGTCGCCGTCGTTCTGCGTTGCACACACAAAGCGATATAAAATAAAACCAATGAGTGTATCAACATAAAGCGTTGCATAAAACAATTCTTTTCTGTCAAGACTCCTTAATCACAACCTTCAAGACGAAAATAAAAAGCAGCAGTTTAATTCCGTGTTCCACCTCATATGAAAGGTATCGCCTTCCTTCAGTAGGAAACCGCAACAGTGAGTGATGCGCTTGGCTCTGATTAATACCATATGCACCACCCTCTACAAATGAATTTCAATGGTTCAACCCACTACAATATTTTCTGATAAGTCATCATTAAGGATTGCGTGGTTGATCTCGTATGCAATCAAACTGGAATTGTAGCGAACTGCCACAAAATTTGCAACGGTCGTGCTTAAGGCATTCATTGACCGACATTGGAGTCAGAAATCAAATATGATCCTCATCCGACAGAGCTGAAGGGGTCCCCTTATGTAAGGTACCAACAGGCAGAATTTCGCATTGCAGTAGGAATCAGGATACGTTCAAAAACAAACATAAGAGAAGAAGAGGAAGGCATCGGCGGCCTCCGTGATCACATCAATGTGCATTTACAGCATTTCTTCGATCCCTGTCCCTGTCGTTTACCGCTTTCGGGATAACGACGGTTGATTTGCCGAATCAAGTCGTAGAACACCTGAAGAAGAACTGAAGCGGTAGGCAAACGATAAGTAAAAAATTGTGGACTGAATTATGTGAATACAGTGGAATTATTAGATTTTAAAAAGTGGCACCCACCACGTTCAGACTATCGGGAGCTCAACTCTTTTTAAATAAAATATTGACTGAGTTCTTAAAACGCCTACCTCGCTAACGTTAATTTTGGCTTTTGCTGACGTCTCTAGGAAAGCTGAGCCAAACTGACGCGCAAGATTCTGACCCTGGTCCTTACCAACGACACGCTCGTCTTCAAGATCACATTTGTTACCGACCAGAATCATTGGAACCTGAAATACTACGGCTTCAATTATTGAAGTTGAAGTGCCCAGTAGTGTCAGTTATGACAATAACAGCGTTGGAATGAACCTCATCAGTGTCTTTGACTCGAAGTATTTGATCGCGTAAGTCCATCAAATCGTTAAACGTTGACTGTGCTGTGATAGAGTAGACTAGAACGAATCCCTGGCCATTCTTCATGTAAAGATCTCGCATCGCAGTGAACTGTTCCTGAAAAACAGAAAGCTAGGAAGCTACTTCACTTCCATCAGCATATAAAGTAAGGTGTAAGAAAATGGCTGACAACATAAAAATGAAATCGCCCCCTCAGTTATCAGTAAACGAGAACTAGAACTACACTACTATCCCATTATTTCATAATTCAGTCCTATAAAAAGCTGATCGTTTCACCCAAGACACCTCTTAGGGAAGTATTAACGACATCACTTTGCAACCACATCTGAGCCGCCGCAGGAGTAATTTCAGTAAGTCCAGCGATACATGACGCAGCGTTCAGAGTTCGCAAATTAAACAAACAACAAAATAATACATCGCGACTAATCCGGAAATGAATCATAACTATGGCACCTCAGGAAGGCCACCGACCAGCCGCATCAGCCCATGTGCTGATGGGAGGGAACTCACCGTCCCCTCAAGCACAAGTCTTGTCCTTCTCAGTATACGAAGTTATTACGTACATGATGGTCTCTCTTTCGAACGATAGTATTCCTTCATTTCTGCGAAGTCGCAAGTGCCTTTAGCCGCGAACTCTTAGCGAGGACTAATTGCAACGTACGATGAGTGATTCGAATGATAGTACATTCTATTAGCGCGCCACGCTTTATCAACGTGGATTCAGTCAACGAAAATGTAGTGAAAAGTGTAGCTCAAATTTCAAGAGACACAGCGGTAGGAGTTAACGCTTGGTGTTAACATTAGTTTTCCTAAGACGAGACAGAAACATGTATAAGCAGTCGTGATGACGTCTTTTTTGCTTTCGGTCACTTGGAACGGGCACGATTTTGCAAGGCGCCACCGTGGATTTTGTGTAGTAAATGAAAAAAAAAAACATTGATGGCTATATGATAGGCCTCTAATTTTGCTGGTTTAAGATTCAACGCGAATGGTAGGCGATATTCTTCGCAGCCCAACATTCGGCTGCACACGGACGGAGTGTTAATAATGAAAGGTTTAAGAATTCAAACAAACCTAACGTTCGCAGGCTGTGTCAAGAATCTCCACACTACACTTGCTGGCCGCGTCAACTTCCACTGGTGCTACAAAACATTCCTTATAATAGAGTGCACGAACATTAAGACCTGGCATGATTCACAAACCTTCCCTATAGTACCTCAATGAAGGCTCGCGTATTTTTTCCACAAAAATTCCTTGTACGAATTGAACCGTCTGGAAAGAAGAGACCTTTGAAATACTCACAGAACCAAGGATTTATTCACGAAGTTCAGACTTTGATATCTGAGTATGGCATTTCGCTGCATTATGCCTAACTGAAGGACTCAAACGGTTTACGCAAGAATGAACTAATTCCGAATACTGCTGCTCTGGAAAAGGCCAAATCCACCAGCTGTCAACAATGCAAAGTGTGGTATATGAATTTATTCCCAAGTAATTTTCTAGATTGAGCAAATGAAGCAAGAACTCAGGCGCAATAGAGAGTAAGCAATGCCAACTGAAACCAGGGTCGGTTGCACCAATTTCAAAAATTTTACAAACCCCCCCCCCCTTACGACTTCCTCGACTTCCTGTTCACCACCTCACCACCATCATCTTTGCTGGAATTTGTTTTAAGACAACGTGATACACTTGAACCCCACTGCAATCTACTCCAAAACTGCCCGAGCAAGGAAGAGGTACGCCGCACCATTTACATACAACCGTTATATGTTGTAATTCATTGGACTGCACTTTTCGTGGGAACTCCACCTTACGCACTAAAATGTCCCCTTCTCCCTTGACATGAACACCTTAACTCTATAAATATGGCCCCGTTGGGATTTTTCCAAGACGGTTGACCTAGCCAACCCCTGATGACACCCTCCGAAACACATCACTCCCAGTCGTGATCGTTCAGAAGCACCAATGACCCTGGTCAAATTCGCAAAATAATTAATTATTGACATATTTATTCATTCCAGAGGGTACACTGCCTTTAAAAACCCTCTTCGCGAGAAAGCATGCAAACGCTGCCAAAAAAGATTTTGGGCTGTTCAAGACGTAAAGACGTTTGTGCAGCGATTTCGTTGAACCATAGCTTGAAAAGAATCCCAGAAAATGCATTGTGAACGTCATGTAGAGAAGCTATCATCAAATAAGTATCATAGGCAGTTGCTCCAAGTATGCAGAAATTTGCCTGAGCCCAGTTTCGTTTTCAAACTGTTAAACCGCAATCTTATAAAAAAACAACAATAACTGAAGGCAAGAAAAAAGGTTGAATAGTACTCACCAATGCCGATTTTCCTACTCCACCGCTACCTAACACTACGATCTTGTACTCACGCATTATTTCTGGAAAAGAAAAATATCGTATGCATGATCACGATATGGAAACAAAAAAAAACGGAAACGGTCCGGGCTCAAATTGAAATAAAGCTGAAAAAAAAGATTAGCACATACGGACACAATAATGTGAAACATGAGCGTACGCAAGCAAAAAAGGTGAGTCAAAATGAGCTTGTTTTGTAAAGTTATAAAATGGGGATCAGTATACATAATTTCTCCTTTCTTAACCCATTATTCAGATACGAGTTAACCGAGTGGGAAATACATTCTCAAATAGCAATACATCTGTCGTCAAGAGAAAGAATATTCAGTCACCGCTTATTACTAATCAGCAGCTTAGTTACTCAACTCCTCCTGCATGGTGGTGAACGATGAAAACAATGGAATTCAGAGCTCATAGTAAGTGAAAAAGCGGATAAATTTAAAACATTACGTGAACGAAATGATATTGTAATAACTTCGTATAGCATAGTGGTAGTTAGTAGACTTGGAGCTTTGGGGGTCCATATGGAGACCGCGTACATTACTGCGCGTCATGGAATGATAAACAATTTCCATTATCATCACCAAAGCGAGATAGGAACAATGTCTATCGAAGCTCAGCCTGAGTCCCATAACAAACATTGGAATACATGTCTTAATGCGATTTTTTTCCGCACGCAAGGTAGAAGCTAACAAAAGAGTTTACACTTAACAACATGACAATTAGAACAACGCCTTCTCGATAGTTCCCTCCTGTAATCGACTCGCCGATTGACGAAGATTTACAGGCATTAAATTAAGCAGACTGCACTGAGATGACTTATATTGTAATAAAAATATAAAGCTCGGTAGAAAACCGAACCGTTTAAACGAGACCAAAACTGGGTTCATGACCGCTTGACGGAGTGTCTGTGCGGGAGACCCTCCATATGAGTGGGCCGTGCGTTTTAAGTTGCGAGTCTCAAGGGCATATAAGCGGTAGAAATAACATAAACACAACCCCTAACGATAAGCAGTGATTCTTAGGAACTCGTGATACAGCCAGGAACAGCCGCCGTAAAACGTTACGATCAAAAATACATCGCACAAATTTAGCAATGCGTTCATGACCTTCCAGACTATTCTTTTTTCCATACCATCTTCCAGCCTTTGCCTGATGCATCTCTTTCAAGTAGCCGCAGTGAGCAAGATTGGTACGACCAATGATGATAACCCTCCGTTTTGAGCGATTGAATGGAAGGTAACAACAAGCGCTTAGAAAGTTTTCTCAGTGACGTAATTGGTACAGGGGTACACGATCATATGCAACTGCCACCCGGGTGGTGTGCATAACCGTTTACGAACATGAGTCATTAGCAAACACCTAGACCGACGCTACACTCTCAAGCTTTAAAAGAGAACACTATGCACGTTTAAATGAACAGATGGTAAAATGAGAAAAATGAGCTTTGAGTAGAATTTCGGGTTCAATTTCAGGTTACGGATTAGATGAGTTACATTTGCGAGAATGAGTCATCAAGAAAGCTGTGCAAACAAAAATAGTTCGCCGGGCTGAAAAAAAGTTAAATCAGTGGAAGCGACTGTAAGAAAATCTTTGCATCTTTGCGTTGTACCTAAATACCAGTTTCCCCGACATTGGTCTGGTTCCACTTTGCCCGTATACGCGACTCATATTCCACAGGTTCTCACCTCCAGCTGCGAACACGAGCTAATTTCATCTTTGGGGTGACCGCGTGTGTACTATTGAGTGCTATGAGCCCACACCCCTTAACCCCTTCACAATGGTTTATTATGATAGTTCCAACATCTGCGACTGAATTAAACTTTGTTTCCTAGATCTTTTACCGACCAATTCTTATTTTTGCCACTTATTTCACTCACAAGACATTGTGGGTGAACAGAAAGGCCCAGTGAGCGGCGAGCAAACCAATATACCACGTTAGGGGCTTCTACACAATGCCAGTTTTGCTCGCTGGCAGCAGCTTCTCCCTTCCCTGCACATGCTCTTCGCCTTCCGCTGTGCTTGTTCCCACTTGTGACGGGAACACACCTTACGAGGAGAGCGTATGCATAGAAAGGGTATCTTGTAAGTAAAAGGTAAGTAATAATGAGATAACGTTAGAATGTAAGCTCAACACTAATTTGAACCTCAGGTTTGTTGGAAGTTGGTTTTAGACGACAGACATACTGCCATACACGATGACAAACCAGTAAGTTAGAAGTTCATCAAACAGAGTGATAATAGCGGTCTGGTACAAATTTACAATCGTAATAGGTAGATCGCGCAAAACATTACTCGCTTTTTACCACAGGGAAGACCGGCTCATGTGAGACGCTCAGAAGGAAAAAGAATTTCAAGAGGTGGGATGCTTCTCGAGGCCATATGTACGGAGCTTTCGTTCAAGACATAAGCAAACAAGACATGGGTGGTGGTCCCAAACAAGCAAAGCGCTTAAACCGCTGAAGCGTAAAAAACAAATCCTGAGTCCACTTCCAAACCCAGTGATTACGCGCGAATTCCCAACAAAAAATCAGATTTGAGTAATATCTGCAAAACTCCTCCGCAAGATTCAACAATCAGACTGATCTTCTAGTAAGATGATCCAAATAGAGCAGGGAGTAATCTTACACAATTTGTCGGCTCCGAACGCTAAATTACACTCAGCAACTAAATTCTTTTATGCGATCCTTTACATCGAGCATGGTTATAAGTTACACTCAAAAAAGAAGATGGAACCCAGCCGCGAACAATGCCAAACAAAAAAATGACCCTACGAGGACATACAGAATGATCAACATTCTCAAAACTTCAGAGGTACTCCAAGCGCATGACACGTAACACTGCAGAAAGAATATTTCCAAAGGAAATATGATAAGGAAATCACCCACGTCCCTTTTGTATAGTACGCAAGAAATTTTCCAGCCAACTGTCAGAGCTGTGCTGGTACCAATTAAGCAACACCCTGGGATGGAAGGCTTGGGCGACATGCGGTCTGAATTTCTGTGCTTGGATCATGACGCGGTCATCAGTGGCGCCACATTCCCTACACAATCTTTGCCCATAATGACTTGGCAGAATACACTGTCGTTCTAATTCCCCCAACAGTTTGGTGCCAGATCCGCCTAAGGATGAAAACTGTACATCGAAGTACCCGAAAGCCATTGTGAAGGCCAAATGTTTTTCAACTGCTACTTCTACTCTTGATGGAAGTATAATGCGTGGGGCATCCCGAAGAACAACGAGTGGTTTTTCCTTGATATTTTATTTGAGTTAATTGAGTTCGAAATGAAGATATTCACCGAAGCACAGATTCTCTAAAAACGGCAGTTTTTCTCTTCAATTCCGAACACGTGCAGTGATAGAGAAAGCACAGTCACCCCGTTAATACGGAGTATGAGAACATGTAATGAGAGATCTCAAATAAAATTCAAATAAAGACACTCCAAGGAAGTACACGAATTCCTAAGGAAATGCACAAGAATGCAACGATGACGAAGGCAGTGACAATTGTGCTCCAGCAATACACCGACTGACAATAGACGTATAGGCGAAAATCGATTGGAACTCAGCGGGAAGAATGGTGGAAGGGGAAGAAAAGAGAAAAAAAAGAAGTATCGGCCGCTAGAGAAGACACAGCATATGTAGCCGTTGCCAAAAATGTTTGTTTTGTCTCATATAGCCGACGAAACTTTAAAAAAATCGTACCACTTGTTGGTTAGAACAGGCCCGTATAGTAACTCTATCGCGATTCTTTGCCATGCTGTGACAGTCACCTGACCGCTAACTATACGACCATTGTGAAAGTATTCAGCGCGTCTTTTAGATGAACAAGCACACCCATAGCGATGAAATGAACGTTGAACAGCAAACAGGAAGGTCACAGAAAGTGCTTTATCAAACAAATAAAGAACGCCATCAGACAAATAATTAAACACGGTTGCAGATGTCTGGTAAATTGTCAAACAATCGCGGCAATAAGAGCTCGCAATGAAAACGAAAGCATGCAAGTTTTCACAGAAAAAGGCAGATTTTGAAGTGGACACTCCAGTGCTGGAAACTCTGGCCGCACTGGTTGCTGTGGTCTTCTTTAACCTATGGTTCAACAGTTATCCATTGCGGATGCGCCGCCAAGGCAGGGCATATTATAGAAAGCGAATCATCTTTGAAGGATCGTGGCAGAATCGAATCGAAAAAGCTTTAGAACCGATAATAGTCGTACGTGCTTGTGAAAAAAAAACTTGGTGGATATAGCAAGTCCAAAACGTTGCCACTACGATTGGGGGTTATTAGCCACGACACAGGATTACAGAGATAAAAGAAAGTTTATTCAGTAGTCGTCGTTATTAGAAGTTGAAAATGAAAATTTGCGTTATACAAGATCAGTAAGGGCAACAAAAAAAGTAAGAAGAAAATGCGGCATTGAAACACACCCTGTGGAGGCAAATGAGTGAGGGGTAGATAATTTTGTGCATTGAGTAAACCAACAACAGCGCCGCGATTAGGTGGAATGGGTTACTCCGCTACAAGGTCGCAGTTATTACAGCCCCACCCTATGTCAACGGAACAGTTCCATGAACACAGCCAAGGTCACACAGTATTATGTCCAACGCAACAACTATACTGGCAACGTTCCAAACGAAACGGGAAGAGGCAAGTTTTTGAGTGGAGTGTTTGAGTGTACATCGAATCAAAAATAGTCACGAACTCCACAACTGCACAGGGTAACAAATAGGAATCGGAAATGAAGCTGTAAGTGCTAACTGGCCCGCCACCGAAGAGCAGGCAAACAAAATCAATGAAGGCACCCTAAACGGGACTTTTCCTTTTGCACTTTATTTCAAGCATCAGATTGGTCTCCCGTCAACCGCCGGGATCTTCCTTGCCTGCGTAAGCTCTACCTCTTCTGCTGTGGTTCCTTCCACACCCCGAAGAAGTGACGCGTATGCAACAAAAGGAGTTTCATATAGTAGAGGGCATCGCCATAATCATGACATGACGGTAGAATGACAGACTACTACCTAACTCCACCTTTAAGTCTGTTGGTGATTGGTTTTTAGCCTCCCCTCCTCATAATACCCATCCCCCTCCTCCCTCCACTGCCCCAAGGCCACTACACTATGTGGAATGCCCGGAAGTGCTCAGGAAGGTGTTTATATAGCCGTAAGGGTGTTATCACAATTATCCTATAACAAAGTATTAATAGCTCAAGTCCTGCGAGCTAACCGATTCTGTTATGGTGCGTTCATAATTGGCGATCGTACGCGCGATTAGGCGATAAGAGAAGGATAAGTATTGATTTGTTGCTCCGCCCATTGAGCGATCGCCTAATCGCCTACTCGCCTACAACGCCCTATGGGCGGAGCATGCCAATCAGTATGTACGTATGTGGTAGTCTCCGCCTAATCGCCTACTTGTGTGATTGGCTAATCCATACCCATATTTTTCCTTGTAGACTAATCGCCCAATCGCACGTGCGATCCCAACACATCTGAACATTAACACTGGCGGTTTGTTTATTCCATTAGCTGCCTTATCACTCACTTCACTTGCGGACGGGCAGACGGACATACATACATACATATATACAAACCGACACCAAGTTAGCGTTCATATAATGGGAAGATTATAGTGGGGAACTTGAAGAGATATGCATCGGTGTCCTTAGTAGAGACAAGACGATGAATGGAGAAAGAGTAGGACCAGCAAGACGTAGGGCACGACAGCTTCAAATCGTAGTCAAGAGTGAGGGTAAAGCTCGGGCAACATGATTACACCCAGCCCAAGCATTTTTGAGTCCCGAGGAAGGTCCACTTTCCTCGTTAAATGGTCCCAATCAGCCACACAATATATTTGTCAAAACAAAAGTATGAGGAATAATCTCATTGTCAGCAGCGATCATGAGGCTATGTTACAAAAGCATTCTTGGAGTTTTCTACTGAAAAAGTCACTTTTCATTGTAAGCTGCTGTAGTCCCAATTTTGCAACTATAGCGATTCCATGCCTAGGTCATTTGTTTGGGTTTTCTCCTGTTGCACAAGTTTTAAAACTGAATGGAAGCAACTGTGAGCCAAGTGAAGCAATTTATCGTTCTTTCAGAGCTAGAACTTCAGAAAAATGATGGCTACTCATGTACCCGAGTCCTCCCTCCCAGAGGTCTGATTCTAAAAAACATGAATAAAAAATGCTTGTCGAGGTTGCAAGCACGTAGGGCACCTCGCATCACAATGCCTCCCCCCCCCTTATTGTAACAGCGCTGGATCCATGATAGAAAACTGACCTCGAACATGTACTTAGAAAGCGAACAAATTGCCCCCATCAAAGTCCTGACCACATGCGTGACAAACCCTGACTATGCGATGTCAAGCCATGAGCAAACTCTCCTAAGTTGGTGGCGACTCTAACCATCCTCTTCGGGCCTTTAGAAGAACGAAATATCAACACCAACAACAGGTTTAAAACATAGCCGGTCGACATCTCCTCAAAGAGCTCCGCCAGCTCCCATGAACCCCGCCTACGACCTGCTGAAACAGATAACACTTCTGCGTCGTGTTTGAATCTATCTATTATTCCATTGAATCAAAGACACACAAAACAACTCTAGAAATAAAGCGAACTTTTTTGAAAATCTACGTTGACAAAGCTTTCATCCTGCAAAGAAAACGCGTCGCCACAACCAACCGCAGAGGCACGTGCTCGCCCTGCGCGGGCGGGTCGTAGCTTAGAGCGCATTTCCCCTCAACCTTGGGCCACATGCTGCTGATTACTGTGAAACTTGCGAAACGTTGCTGGCGTAAGTTTCCAACATATTGTTACAAGTGTGTAAGAAAACAAGTGCCCATTTTCACAACAATGCTCCCAATGCAGTTGTTGCAGGACCCCTGTAAGTATCGAATTCTCTCTCTGTATCACATAAAGACAGGATTCTCGATTAGTTCTTTCTGTTTCAGACCCGCGACTGGATCGCCGGTGAGGCTTGCAATAAATCTGCTTTAACGAAGCGGTGCAGGCTGGTAGCTGTATCGAAGACGAAGCCAGCGGAGCTCATTGCTGCTTGCTACGAAATTGGACAACGACATTTTGGAGAGAATTATGTACAGCCGTGTACGTCATACTTCCACTCTTATCTACGGACAAGCTCTTTCCAAAACTGGGAAGAGGATGATTGTCTCACCAGTGAATGGTCAACCGTAACTTTCCAATAAAGAGTCGCCAAATCTTCGTAAGCTACTGAGCCATCCAGCGGTTGCGCTCGACAAACACACAACACTTTGGTCTTGTCGCCTAAAATTCGAAATGCTTCCAAGTTTTTTTTGCGCGGGAGGTATACTTGACATAGTGGGCGAACCGTGAGTAAGCCATCAATCACCTCAAACTCAAGCATCTGATCAACGATCATGTCAAGGCTCAATAGGATTGAGATGCATTACTGGCATTCAACAAACTATTGACTAAAGTACGCCAAATTTTTCTATGGCATTGAGTTAATTCTGGTTCAGATAGGACATAAAGCAACTTTTCCGCTTTTCGCACTCGAAACTTTTTTCGCTGCGAGAATCCCGGGTCCACTCCTGATCAGTGGTGGACCTAGGGTTCCTAAAACAAGTTTCGAGTGCGAAAAGAGGAAAAGTTGCTTTATGTCCTAGTGAAGCACACCCATATGCTCTCCTAGTTACCCTTATCTGTAGAGGCTTCTATTCCCTAAAAGCGAGTCAAAAAGAAAACCGTTCATTTACGAGAAGTGATACACCTCTTCCGAAAGTATAGTGTTTGAGTAGATTGTTGGCTCTATTGGTTTTCACCTTTTGTGTGTACTGGACAATTTCTTCTATCTCACAGTACAATTCGAGTGATTGTTGATAATTTGGTAGGCTATGTAAGTGTTCTGCAAGGCCTGCATAAGTATACTTATCAGATTTTCATGTATAGCTAAAGGAACGATTACTTTCAGGAGTTGGAAGAAAAGTCAAATGCTCTCCAAAATCAGTGCCCTGAAATCAAATGGCATTACATTGGCAAAATCCAATCCAATAAGGTATCAGTAGTCTTGCCATAATACATATTCAGCCTGTGATGTTGGTCATTCGGTGTGATTGCAGTGTGTTTTAGTCTTCATCTAAGATGCTTGGGTCTGATGTTGTATTTTCCAGATAGGCAAGATATGCTCATCGCCCTCTCTGTATTGCGTTGAAACTATCGAGTCGGCAAAACACTGTGATCTGTTCAACCGAGAAATGGAGAAAAGGCAAACGTGCTTGATGTTTTGGTGCAGGTAAACACAAGCGCAGAAGATCAAAAAGGAGGTGGTGTTTTGAATTTACAATGTTTTCCTTAGTTTCCTTATCTATCATGGAGTCTAGTAACTTGTTTTCCAAAGTCGGAATATTGGTCTCAGCTCTCTACAGTTTGAGAGGCACACCGGATTACGTAATTACCGAGTTCCTCGTCCCCCTACTATTAAATTTTTGCTGTTTTAGGGTTGTCGATAGAGGATGCTCCCGATCTTGCTTGTTATATAGCCGATCACTGTTCTAGCTTACGCTTTGCTGGTTTTATGACCATTGGCTCTTTTGACCACAGGTACTCATGTTAAGCGAAAAAACGGAAATTTCCGTAAGGTGCGCATACAGGCGAGCTATTCACACAGTTACTCAGAAGACGATTTTAGCCATGTTGTTCCGAATCCTGACTTTGATCGCCTGTATCAAGTCAGGGAAGCATGGGCGAAGAGAGTGTCGCGTTCTCCTGATGAGGTGGAACTTTCTATGGGTATGTCCGACGACTTCGAGACTGCGATTGCCCAAGGGAGCACGAGCGTACGCGTCGGAAGTAAAATATTTGGGCCAAGATTGTACAAGTCCGCGTGAGCGCTGTGATGAGCGTGATGATATGGTTCATTGTAAGATGCTCACTGATTATCAGACATTTTACAAGTATTGAGCTCAAATGCGGTTGTGTTGAAATTAGTCCTTAACAGTATAGTTGCTGAGACGAACTGGATTTTCTTAGCACTAGTCATG